AGAAGACCGGCGCCGGCGGCCAAAACTCCAGACGCGTTTTGAGCTCCAGACTCGCTCAACAGGACTCGAACCGAGCGTGTGACCCCACCAATGGATTCCTCGTTCGGAGAGTGATCCATTGGTGGGGTCACACGCTCGGTTCGAGTCCGATTAAGTGACTCTGGAGCTCAAAACGCGTCCGGTATTTTGGCCGCCTCCACCGGTCTTCTGGCCCACTGGCGGCTTCTTCGTGTCGTACTTGCAGTGTGAGGCGCGCTGCGTGACACTCGCTGGCGTGCGCGGCTTCTCGCCGCCAAGCACGTCACCTCCACTTGTTTCTCGCGGACACGTGCAATGAGTCCCAGCCTCGCGGAAGGGCGTCCATGTCGCGGACGTCGAAATAAAGTAAACCCCTGTCGTCATCCGCGATTTATTTTGGGTTCTTAGCAGCGACCTGTGAACAGCGCCAACCACGTGAGCGTCGTCGCGACTTGCACCTCCTGCCCTCACCTCCGACGGCCCTACTCTGGAAGCGTCGCGGCCTGGGTGAGTCACTATAATGCGCAGGCCGGCCAGTGGGCTGGCCGCGAGCGAACCGCGAGCGAACCGCGAACGTGTGGCGGCGGTGTGGTGGTGGTCCACACTCATTCCGAACAGGGCTTCGTTGCTCTGTCTCTCTCACACACTTACGGGACGCGCCATGAGAGCGAGAGAGACGGAGCGAACGCAAAGCACTGTTCTGAATCAGCCTGCTGGCCGGCCAAGCCATGGGCAAGCCGCGCGCGCAGGGCCTAAGTGCCGTGTGTGCCCACCCACGTCCCAACAAGAACGCCAGCAACAACGACAACAAAAACAACAACAACAATCGCGGAATGGCCGGCGGAACTAACGGATCGGTGTCCTTCACACGTCACCGATGATCCTCTGGCGTCACGTGGGGCGGCCGGCGGCCCCAGGCCGTCATACCGCCCGCCGCGCTCACTCTGTCTCTGTCGCACTCATGGGGTGGCCCCGGGGAGTGCGAGAGAGACAGGCTGACGGAACGGATCTTCGGACTCTCGGGCGGCCAACCGCACGTCTTAGCGCACGTCTTGGTGACGGACGGCCAGCTTGATGCCCCGCAGAGAGAGAGAGAGAGAGAGAGAGAGAGAGAGAGAGAGAGAGAGAGAGAGAGAGAGAGAGAGAGAGAGAGAGAGAGAGACGGCGGGTACACTGCGGGCGGACCTACACCGTCGCAAAGTAAGCACTTGTAACAGTGCAGTGTTACCTGTAGCACGAACTTGATGTCTGGGTAGGTGTAAAGTGAGCGTGAGTTTGGCAGACGCGTAAACAAACACGATCGGAACGACCTGTCGGCCCCGCCGCCCCACCAGAGGAAACAGATGGGCCGAGTGCTGCTGCAGGCGGCAGTGCCGTGGCAGTGCCATGTCCTCCATCCTCCTGCCGGCCGGCGACGCGGCGACGAGGCAGAGGAGCTAAACATGCTCAAGATGATATCTGCGCCGGCCGCCTGCCGCCGACGTCCATGGCCAATATAGCACGGCGTCGTTGGATAAGAGGTCGGCCAGCACACTGTCTCTCTCGCACCTACACGGGGCGCGCCATAAGTGCGAGAGAGACAGAGCGACGAGAGCAGTGAGCGGAATCAGCCTGCAGGGGCAGGGCCTGGGCCGGCGCGGGCACGGCGGACTTTTCCGCTGTACGCACGACGGCGGCCCGGCATGGCACAGGGCCCTATCACGGCTCTAGCACGGGGGCACCTCTCCGCTGACGGCCTGCCCAGGCCGACGGCGGTGTGGCGGCGTGGCGACCACCGCACCGGCTGTAAGCTTATGGCCGGCTGGCTGGCCTGCCATTGCCATTGGACTTTCTGACGTACTTCCGCCCGGCCCTGCTCGGCCCTGCGCAGCCCTACGGCCACCGAATCAAGCCCTGTGACGTCTCGGCGGCGGTCTCGGCGGTCTCGGTGGTCTCGGCGGTCACGTCAGGGACGGGGACGTGAGCCGCCGGGCTGCCCTCCCTCCCTGCAGCGGCGGCAGCGGGCGATTAGGTCTGGTCGCGGGTTCAAATACACCGCCCTCTTGATACTCTTCTGTGTTTTGGGCGAGTTTTTGTGACGGCCAGGTGCCCCTCCTTCCCCTCGGACCGGCGCCTCCTCGAACTAGGCAGTGGGTTCCCTCAGCGGGTCGACCACGACCACAGCGCAGGCTGCGCTGGCTGCGCTGGTCATGCGCGCAGTGAGCTGCAAGAGCACTGCAGAGCCGTGCACTCTGCACTCCCTCTCCCTCCCACGCCGCGCCGCGCACGGCCACTCTTGTTCTTACATAAAACAATGCCTTACTGCCTTACCTAATGGCCGCCATCACACCTCGTCACGCCGTCACCGTCCAGGTTGGGCAGGGTCGGGTGGCACCTCACACGCACGCACCAACACACACAAAGACATTGAGCAACGCACCCGGCATTTACGCCGGTAAGTGCTCCGCTCCACGCCGCCGGCTCGTTGTTTGATTGGTCGTCGGTCGGTCGGTCAGTTGGTCCGCGGAGCACAGTGGGCCAGAAGGCCGGTGGAGGCGGCCAAAACTCCAGACGCGTTTTGAGCTCCAGAGTCGCTAAGCAGGACTCGAATCGAGCGAGTGACCCCGCCAATGGATTCCTCGTTCGGAGAGCAATCCATTAGTGGAGTCACACGTTCGGTTCGAGTCCCATTCAGCGACTCTGGAGCTCAAAACGCGTCTGGAGTTTTGGCCGCCTCCACCGGTCTTCTGGCCCACTGTGCGGAGCGGCGCGTCGCGTCGGCCCGCTGTGTTTCTGAGTTTTGCTGCGCGACGCGTGTTCTTAATTGCCCCGCTCGCTGCCGTTGGCATGACGGGCCGGCCGCTCTCCAGCCTGGCGATCCAGTAGACGATCGGCTCGTCGCTCTGTCTCTCTCGCACCCTTCCGGAGCGCCCCGTGAGGGCCGTGAGTGCGACAGAGACAGAGCGACTCGTCTGAATCGCTCGTCAGGAGCTAGTGTGTCGGACGCTGCGGACCGGACCTGACCATCGCGGCTCAAACTCGAAACGTCGCGCGTGGGGAAGTAAGAAAGAAAAAAAATCGCGCTGAAGTCGTGATTAGATTTGCAGTGTAGAGCGCGAGGAGGGTGACGGTTTTGTGCGAGGGTGTCCGAGCTGTGATTTATTCGAGCTGGCTGGCCACACCCTGTCTCTCTCACACCCCTACGGCACGCCGCATGAGTGCGACGGAGACAGAGCCACGGAACGGCCCTTCGAAATCAGTGTGCTGACGGCAACGCGTCGAGTTGCCGTCACATTTGTCTCGATTGGATTTCATTAATCGGTCATTCATTTGGGAGGGGCGGGGGGACGGGCGGCCCTGGCCGCGGAGGGGCGGAGCAGCGCGCCAGAGGCGCTTAAAATTTTAGCGGTAGTGTAAAGGGGATGGGGTGGTTAAAAAAGTAAGGGTGTCGTTTGCATCTTACTAAATAGACCCTACAATAATCCTTTCGAAAGGAAAGTCGTGCGTTCAAGCCCACAGCCCGACACTTTTTTTCGCAGTGGACGTCTATAAAAGCAACTATCGGCACACACTACTTGATTTGCGGGAACTCTAAGTGAGTGGAGGCGCGGCCCTCTGATTGGTGATGCCGTTTGATGGAGCCGTCTCCTCCCAATGGCACTAAATCAATACATTGTAGCTCCTGCCGTCCGCAAGGCGCGCAAGGCGTGCCCGTCTGGCCGGCGGGGCGGCGCGGCGACGCGGCGACGCGGCTAGCTCTCGAGGGCCGACCTTTCGCCCCCGTCGAGTCCCAAAGATAGACGCTCTAGCCATGGTCCTGATGCTGCCATGCTGCACAGTGGACCAGCAGACCGGTGGAGGCGGGCACAATCCCGGACGCTTTTTCAGCTCCAGAGTCGCTAAATCGGACTCGAACCGAACGTGTGACCCCACCAATGGACTGCTCTCCGAACGAGGAATCTATTGGTGGGGTCACACGCTCGGTTCGAGTCCTGTTTAGGCCTCCTGGAGCTCAAAACGCGTCTAGAGTTTTGGCCGCCGGCGCCGGTCTTCTGGCCCACTGAGTGCTGCCCAAACGCACGCCAAATGGACAGAGGTGCGAGCACTGTAAGGCGGGAGTGACTCGACGGCGGATTCGAGTCGAGTTTGTCCACCGCCTCATGAATACAACACAGGCTGCGGTCTTGATTTCGGCATTCCTCGGCGGGCCTTGCAAATAATTGTTCGCGTTCACGGACGGGCAGGTCGGCCGACAGACACACAGACAGAGATTTGCGGCATGACTGGCGACAGCGGCCTCGTTCGCGCCGAAGGACGTCACAGGCTGGGCGTGGCGCGTTTGCGGCCAGTGCCTGCCCTGCCAGTGCCTGCCATCTGCCCTGCCAGTGCCGGTGACCGGCGTGGTGCCCGTTTGGCTGCCTACCCCCACGGCGCGCCTCTGCCTCTGCTCAGCTCGGACTGGTCACTGTGTTGTGTGGTGCGTGGGCAATACACGCAACACACACAAACAGAAGGATGAGGGATGATTAGCCTTCATTGGTTTGTTTATAATGTGTTTTTTTATTGCAAAAATATCAGTACAAAAATACAACAATTGTCAGTCAGTCTATGAATCACGCGCTCTTCGACCGTGATGTGTTTAGTGCGATTTAAAATATTTTCAGCTAATTAAGTGGCAGTTAGTATCACAGCCTTCCTTGTGCCACTGTCGTGACTAGAATCCTGGTCCCGGCGTGGTCCTGTCCTTCGCCCGGAACGAGAACGTTCTTTTAAAAATGAAAACAACACGCGGACTATGACCGCTCGCTGTCGCTTCGCGCTTGTCCGCGCCACTGTAAGTGCTCCAAGCTGTGGGCCCGACCCGCGGCCCGTCGCGGCGCGTGGGTGGCGAAGGGCGCAGGGCGTCCAGGGCCACGGCCGCGGCGCTTCCGTTCGCTTCCGGGCGCGTTGACGTGGACGTCGAGGTGACGCCGACCAGCGTGGCGGCGAGGGGCGAGGCGACGTCAGAACATGCGGACCTGGCTGGCCTGGCCGCGGCCGTCCCGGGCGACCTCCGCGGGCAGGCGGTCGTCGGCCTGGGCGGCGCGCACCACGCACGTGCTCTCCACGAGGCGGCCCGGCGGCCGGTCCGCGCACGACGTGCCGTAGTGGCACCGCGCGGCGTGCGCCTGGAACCTACCAAACACTCACTCCTTGAGGGCGGGGCCGTCGTGAGAATGCAGGCCTGGGGAAAGTTTGAGGGGACTTACTTGACGATGAGGTCGTTCTCGCCGCCGTTCGGACCCACCAGCACGTCGCAGCGGAGGTCCGGCTCGGCGAGGCAGCAGTGGATCACCTCGGGGTTGACGGTGAAGACCTGGCGCAGGTCGTGGAGGGCGAGCTGCGCGCGGGGCGAGTCGCGCCCCAGGGCCTCGCGCACCATCCCCGTGAGCAGCAGGTCGTCGATCCAGAAGTAGCCGTGGCGCGACGTCCACCGCGACGCCCCCTCGGCCAGCGCGCGCGCCGCGCCCGGCGTCGCCACGTACACCCACCCCGAGAGGAAGTCGGGGTAGACGTCGGCGGCGTACTCGGCGCGCGTCACGAACCACTTGTTGGCCGGCTCCCTGGAGGGCTGCAGCCCATGCAGCACGTAGCCGTACATGGAGGAGGCCAGCGCCGCGGTGGTCTGCGGGCAGAGGAGGGCATGAGCCACTTCTTGGTGGCCGCGGCCGGCACCTCACCTCTCACCTGTTGCTTCATCAAGTCCATGAGCTGGTACAAGTCCACGACGATGTCGTCGTCCATCTTGACGACGAGCTGAGCTTGGGGGCAGTACGAAGCGGCCCACTGCAGGCCCATCGTGTGCTTGTAGGTCAGGTTCCTGCCGACAGAGACAACAGGGCTGTGTTGCAGCAAAGCGAGTCCCGAAAGATCGTTTCGTCGCACTGTCTCTCTCGCACTCATGGGGCGTCCCGGAGGGACGAGAGAGAGACAGAGCGACGAAACGATCCTTCGGCGTCACGCGGCGAGCAGGCAAGGGCGCCAACCTGTAGGCCTCCTGGAAGTCGCCCTGCACGATGTCGCCGAAGCGCCGCGCCTCGTCGCGCAGCGCTCGCGTCGCCCACGCGTCGGCGTCGTCCTCCGTGCCTCCGCGCCGCGCCGCCCGGGCCAGCAGGAACACGCGGCGGAGGCCGAGGCGCAGCAGCTCGGACCGCGGGTACGCGCGGCGGTGTGCGCTGCGGAGCTCCACGTGGTCGGCGTGGGAGGTGACGACGAGCACGCCTGGAACAGCCGCCAAACGCGCATTCCAGCACCGGTACCACACACTGCAACGATGGAGAAAAATAACAACAACAACCTGTGACGTCGCCGCCCCCGCAAGGGTCGGCGTTGGTGAGGTACTGGAAGTGGCTGAGGTCGAGCAGTGGCCGCGGCGGCGGGTACAGCGGCGGCTTGGCCACCTCCCCGACCACGGCAGGCTTGGGGGCGGGCCTGGGCCGCGCGGAGATCGCCGTCAGCACCCTGCTCAGCGTGAGGATGGAAGCGACGCAGAACGAGAGCAGGAGGCCGCCGGCCACGAGGTCTCGGCCTCGGCGTGACCTCCACCACGGCGTCATGACGGTTACCAAGTCGTCGGCGTGGACCTCGGGATGAGGGCAGCGTTCGAGGCGGCCAAGGAGTCTTCGGCCCGAGGTTCTGCCATGGTCCTTATTCTGTAATACGACGAAAAAACGAAATCAGCGTTGTTGTCGTGTATCATGCCCAGCTGTACGCGCCTGCCGGTCCCCGCGACCTGGTTGTGGTGGTTGCGGTCCGCGCGGCCGGTGGCGATGCCGGCGGCATGGCGCCTCGCAGTGCCACGCGCCACGCCCACGCACGGGGTTCCGTTCCAAGCCGCGTGATGTGGCCTGCCGAGCGGACTGGGCGGACTGCTGCTCTGTGCAGCGAGGGGAGGGGGTTCTCCATGACCTTGGCGTTGAGACCGGCAGGCCGGCCCCGCCGCCAGGTGCAGGTGCAGTGTAGCCGGCCGGCCGCGCGCCGAGCAGAGCAAGCCGCCATTCATGTACCTTCACCCACCTGGAGGACCCGAAGGCTGGTCGCGGTCGAAGGGCTCCTTGAAGACGTCTTCGTATCCTCGAGGATGTCGTGATGACCGTGATGGTCGTGCCGGTCTCGGCAGGGCGTTGATCCCGCGGGCCTCGACACGCCTGGCGACGCACCGACGCGTCGCGTCCACAGCCCGGCCAACGCCACGCCGCACTGGGCCACCTCCGCCTCCACCGCGCCGCCTCTCCCCGCCCCCGCCCCGCCGGCACCGCCAGGCTACGCCAGGCCAGCACACACGCTCGAAAGGCAGGGCAGGGGCAGGGACGGGAGTGGCCTGGAACGCCCTGGAGCGGCCTGGAGCAGAGAGATGGGACTGGAGTGGGGAGCAGCTCCAGCGTCTCCCTCCCAGTCACAGTCACCGGCTTCGGCTCTCCCGCACTTTCTCCGGAGGGGAAGGCAGGGTCCCGCAGGGCGCGCGCTGACTAGGGCTGACGCCCAGCAGGTGCTTGCGGGCACGATGGAATGGTTGAATGAAATGGAATGGCACGTTCTGAGCTAGACTGGACCTTACTGGACCCTGGCGAAAGACGGACCTTAATCTGTCAAACAAGTTGCCTACCCTGCACGGCGGTACGCGCCCTGCCCTGCCGGCGCGCCAGCTGCTTCCCGCCTTCCTCCCATCCCCTCCCCTCCCACTTGTCTGGCAGACGTTGTTTACATTTAGGAATTGAGGTTATTTCCCCGGAGTTGCTATAACAAAATTCACGAATTATTTTAATGTGTTGCGGAATATGTTGCCAGCTGCTACAACGTTCGGTAGTCTGTGTTTGATTCCTCGATTTTCAGTTCTTTGCTAGCGGCAAACGATCACATTTTTATGTTTGTGATAAGACACCGGGCTTACAGCATTCCTGTTATTTTAGTAGCTTCTTTCTCTGTGGAAGTTTATCATGGAAGAGGTATGCGTATTTTTATTTGGAATTTCCATTTGTAGAAACACCTTTTCCACCTTAAAAATTTTCTTATATTCACCATGTTTTTTCTAGCCTCCATCTGTTCAGAGTATTGCGCCTCAAAACATTGTGGTAATTCATCCTGGATCTTTAAATGTTAGAATTGGACGAGCATCAGATTTGGATCCCGTTTCTGAACTTCATGTTATTGCTCGAAGACGGAAAATTGGAGGCCAAACACACCGTGATCAAATCTTACCATCCCTAGTGTCAAAAGTATGAGACCGTTGAAACATACTTTGCTTTGTATTAAATGTATACATCTCTCTAATTACAAACTAAATTTTAGAATCGAGAACTGACAGAAGTGCTTGAGGATGTCCGCCTTCAAGTATCTCATACTGTGCAGTCATGTCTACAGTCAGATGGAAGACGAAGATATGCTACCCCGCCTCAACAAATAGCCGCCTTTAACAGACGTTCAGAGCCAACAAAAGTTGAAGTCCCTACAACAAACAATTTAATTGGTGTAGCTAAGTGGATCAAACCTGAAGGAGATGTCGTTGTTGGTAATGATGTATTGAAGCTAGACCCTTCTCTAGATTTTAATATACATTTCCCATATCGTAGAGGGGATTTTAATGTGCATAGTGGCCCCGGTGGATCTGTATCTGCAGTAATAGCAGATCTTGAAGTCATTTGGGGATATCTTCTTACTGTCAAGTTGGGTCTTCCCAAATCTCAGCGCAAGGTAAAATGGTCTGTGATCAAGAAATCAAAAATACATGTCTATAATAATTTTGCATCATAGTTTTGTGATTTTTTCAGCAATGCCGAGCTGTGCTCGTTATCCCAGATGTATATAATCGCCAATACTTAAAAGAGTTAATGACACTTTTGTTAAGTGACCTGGGATTTGGAGGCTGTTTCCTTCTTCAGGTTTAGTAAAAAAATTGTGTATTAGCTTTGGATTTGGGAAGTGCCTGTTAATCCTTAGATGCTTTTGTGTTTGGTGTTACCAGGACCATGTGGCTGCCACTTTTGGAGCTGGCCTTGGAGTTGCATGTGTAGTTGATGTTGGAGACCAAAAGACTTCCGTTTCATGTGTTGAAGATGGCATATCACATCGAAACACAAGAGTAAGAAAGTTGTGAAATTTGAAAATGAATTTTAGAAAGTAAAAAATTTATGTTCTAATTCAGATATTTTACAACCCACAGATAAGAATGGAGTATGGAGGAGGTGATATCACTCATATTTTCCACTGGTTACTTTTGAAATGTGCTTTTCCCTACAAAACATGTGATTCGAGAAATTATTTAGATGCCATGCTTTTGCATCAGCTGAAGCAAGATTTTTGCCATGTTAATTTGGTAATTTTTAATTTTTTTGGTTTTTGGCAAAATATTTTTTTTAGAATAGTTTTGAAATACTGTTTTTGTTGCCAGGATGTCTGTGGATCACATGAAAAATCTTTTGCCATTCAGAAAGTGAATGATGCTATACATCAATACACTCTCATGCTTGGTGATGAATGTGTTGTTGCTCCTTTGAGCCTTTTCTTTCCAGAGTTATTTTCTATGACTGGCATTAAAACATCTTTAACTCAGAAGAGGTCAGCAGGAGATTCAGAAGATCCGTTTGATGATCATTTTATTAGGGAGACAGGTGTAAGATAGCCTTTTAACTCACAAGTCTATTAGCACCATGGTGCCCAATGTCTTCCTCTCATAATTTTCAATTTGATCAAATTGAATTTCAGAGGAAAGGTGCAAAGGAGAATTTAGAAACTGCAGGAGGTACAGATATTTCTGCTGTGGGGGACCTACCTGGTGGTGATGATGATATAGTTGTTGATACACTTGAAGGGGGTGCTGGCCAGACCAGTGCAGGAGAATTTGAAATAAGTCCTGGGAAAATTCTTGGACTTGATCAAGCTGTTCTGCAAAGCATTGAAAGATGTTGTAAGTTAATAAAGCTAATCAACACTTCATTTTGCTTATGTTTATCTCTGCAAAAATTTTAGGTTTTGCTGTAACTTGTTTTCATTTTAGCATCAGAAGATATGAAGAGGAAAATGTACAACTGTATACTGGTAGTAGGTGGTGGGATGAAATTTGCTGGCATTGCTGCTTATCTTCAAAATCGCTTGCACCTTCAAGTACCATTTGCTTATAGATCAGGTAGGTTATTCTTGGGTTACTTCAATTTTGGCATTTATAAAGACTAATGAATTTTTAAACCAAAATTTAATATTTCAGATCAAACAGATATAGTGCTGACACCCAAAGACACAGATCCTCAATTGACAGCTTGGAAAGGTGCATCAATTCTGTCTTGTCTTGAATCATCTCATGAGTTGTGGATAGCCCCAGATGAGTGGAAGCGCATTGGGGTGAAAATTTTGCGAGAACGTGCTCCTTTTATGTGGTAAATTCATTTACCGTGTTCTCATTTACGTTGTGTATATTATGTATAGGGAAGAAGATGAGTACAATAATTGACAAGTAAACGCCATGTATTATTTCTTTCCCGTCACATGTTATCTTGGATAACTACAACAATGTTTGTAAAAGAACAATACAATACAATACAAATAGGAAACCTATAGTAAGCATCACATGATAAAAACACTACAAGCAACTTATTCTTTATCAATTTGGAATTAAATACAATCCTTATACTGAATGGTAACAGTTACATCCCAGAACTTTTAGCTCCTGGTCCTTGTTAAAGGACATTACAATGCATTGCATGAAGCAGAATGAAAATCCAGTTTACAAACCCATCTATTCAATTTTTTTAAAGTTGGTCCCTGGTGGATTTGTTTTAATGATATAAATGTGGCATAGTGCTTGTGGCATAGGAATTAGAGTCTCTACTTTGGATTGGAAACAAGAGAGACTGTTCCACTTGTAATTCATACAAATTAATGCAACTGCCTCTCTGTGGTAAACAATGAACTGGGTAAAATACAATACTATTGTTATATGGGACTATGTTGAGACAAGTTAACTATGTCAGCAAAATTGCTCTGCCTAACCTTACAATTTATTTCTATTCGAAATTACATATATAAATATGGAGTAAGGAATCAGATACATGTGACTCAATTTCAAAATGTGAATGCATCAGGAGCTCTGGTACTGACCCAACTGGCCAAGACAGGGAAGTATAATTTCGACTAAATATAGAAAACGAAGGTATACTTTTAATAAAAATTGCACACTGTAACAGATAGATAAACTCATTCAAAACAAACATGAGTCCCCTTCACTTTAATGTTCACTTGGTTACTCTCTCTTAAAAAGAAAAGAAAAAACTATACAAAACCAAGGATGTATGTAAAGGCAAGTGGATTTTTTAAAATTTAATTTTAAATGTGCACTCAGTGGTGTCGACTATCAGGACCTTGAGACTAGATTTACAGGTTTTGTAATGTATACAGATTATCGTCGTCATCTGTACAAAACAAAGAATGGCAAAGATCATATTTATACATAGCCAGTTGCATTATTTTTTATTAACAATAAACAAGAAAAGCAAGCTCAGTCACACTTCCTTCACATACTCCACCGGCAGTTTGTTAAACAGTCCAAAGGAAAAAACAGCACATAAGTAAAACCATGATTAATTCTACAAAAACTGTAATCATACAACTAAAGAATAACCACAGCGCTGCTTTCTTCATGAGGTTGAAAACTGGGTTAATTTTCACCTGTATGGCTAACTTAAGCTACATTGCACAGGAAAAACAAATCCTGACAGGTTTATTTTGAAATATTAGGCATGCTTGGCATGCTTCAGCACATATGACAATGTCATATTATTTACTGCACAAGGCACTCGGAAAATTCACAACTAGTGTCATAATGACTGACGCTGAGAAGGATGTGGTGGCAATTGTTTTCTGGGCAAGTAGGAATTGACATATTGTCATACACCAGCTGTTGGCACAGACAGGACATGAGTAGGAACAGTAGTGTGGCTTGAGAACATGCCATCACAGTGGCCACAACTGCACGGCTTTGTACCATCACCATGCACAGATATATGCTTCTGGAATGTCATTTGGGTGGCATCAAAAGACCAAGAGGGATTTTGAGTGCGCTTTGCTGCTGTCAAGTCACCATGATCATCAAAATGTTGTGAAACTGTACAAGTCTCACAGTATGGGGAACTAACACGGGCACCATCAGGGTTTATGGTACGATAAGTTTTACCACAGAGCGCACAGTTTTTAGGGCAACCCTCAGATTCAACATGAGTTTTGAAGCAGTTAACAGAAGCAAATGTTTTTTCACAACTATCGCAGCGGTGTGGCTGATCTTGTCCAGCTTGTTCCCGTTCTTCTGTTCTTGAAACCTGCAGTGCTTCAGGCTGCTCTTTTCCTTTCGAACCAGATGTGTGAACAGCCTTGTGTTTTTCAAATTGAGAGAGCTGCCGGAAGGTTTTATGACAAATTTCACAGAAAAAAAGGGGAGTAATTTTGGCCTCTAGCTTCCCAGGGCTTCCAGATGAAGGCACTTCCAAAATACTGGCAGATTCCCATGTGGCAGTTGCAGGCCACAAGTCTTTGCCAGCCTGAAGTTGAATTTGGACCTGCACTGGACCTTGCGGCTGGGATTGTACCTGGGTTTGCTGAGTTTGTTGTTGTGCTTGAACAACTTGCACGGGAGTTACTTGCACAGTTTGGTACTCTGGTGTAGTCACCAGTGCCACAGTGGTCAGCTCTTGATCAGGTTTCAATTCAACAGTGCACAAAGTAGTAGGAACAGTATTTTCTACAGTCGTAGTAAAATTTTCAATTGCACTAGGGTTGTCTTTCCCGCAGTGTTTCTTCCAATGGTCAGTAACTCCTCTTTTGGTCATGAACACCCGTGTGCACACAGGACAGGCATGTTGGTCCCTGTCACCATGACCAGCTCGGTGATCTTCCAGAGCACGTGCAGCAGCAAAACATTTTCCACATACATCACATATGTAAGGCTTCTCACCAGTATGTACTTGCAAATGACTTTGGAGGGATGATTTGTCAGAAAAACATTGTCCACATAAAAAGCATTCGTATGGCCGCTCTCCTGAGTGCACCCTCATATGCTTAGTCAAACTCCATTTGTCACCAAAGCCTTTCCCGCACTCTGAGCAGCTGTATGGTTTGACACCAGAGTGAACCCAACTATGTTTGGACAGACCCCAGGCATCAGAGTAACCTTTCCCACACACCAGACATATGTGTGTCTTCTTTTTGCCATTATGAGCATTCCCATTGGATTGTCGTGGTGCTGTTGTTGGTTGGGCCTGTTGATTGTGCACCTGTGGAGATTCGTTTGAGACCGGTTGTATATGCACAACCTGGACCCCAGACACTTGAGCGTCAATATGCTGCTGCTGCTGTTGTTCATGAGCTTGTTGCAACACAGCAGCAGCCGCCGGTGCAACAGGACCTGCGTCTCCAGGTTTCCGTTTCAAGACACCAGGTATAGGTGGGAATTCACCCTGACTGGAGCCAGGTGCTGAGATTCCCATATGTTGGAGTTGATGGGTTGCCAAGAGCCATGAGTTGGAGAAGCTCTCCCCACAGTCAGGGCAGACATGAGGCTTCACACTCACATGGGTTTTTAAGTGCCGCTTCAATCCAAACTTGTCCGAAAAAGATCTTCCGCACTCCAGACAACGGAACGGCTTGTCACCTGTATGCACACGCATGTGGCGCTTTAACATGAAAGGCTCCCCAAAGCGCTTTCCACACACAGGACAGCCATGCAGCCTCTCACCTGTGTGGGTGCGCTCATGTTTGGTGCGTGAGTGAGCCTGAGTGAAACATCGTCCACACACTGAACACGGAAACGGCTTCTCCCCATTGTGGATCCTCATGTGAATGGTTAAACTGTAGGCTTGAGCAAAGCTTTTGTCGCAAATTGGACAGACGGCACCCCTTCGAGCACCCATGTTTTCATACGGCACTGAACCTGTAAATCAGATCACAAAGAGTCTCTTAGTACAACAGGCATAAATCTTAAATTAGGCATGGACAAGACATATCCGGCAGATATCTTCAGAGAAACAATGTCTGAATGATGAATTCATAAAAAGAAGTGATCAAATCAATGGGTATATTCAATAGGTTTGATCTCAAGCCAGCTATATGGAAGTAAACAAGAGTTAGGTTCAGACGGCAGAAATTCTAAACAAAGCCAAACTGGTGGCTTTCGTTTCAGCTGAACACAGAGAATCGAACAAGTAAAAAGCTTAGAAGAAAGAGGCGTGCGCTAGAACTGAGAAAACCTTCGTTCTGAAGAGAAATGGAATGGAATGCGAGTACGGGGCGCGAGTCCGAACGCCGATCTAATGATCAAGAGGTGGATATGGGTATGGTGGTTATGCGTACCTTCAGAACGGCGAGAAAAGTGCCAAACGATTCAAATAATTTTTAGAAACATCGCTAGGCTACAGTAAGGTTCCGTATCGTATACACAAAATCTTAACCTCCAAAAATACAAGAACAAATGTTTGGAACAAACTTTGATTTGAGCTAACTAAAGAAAGATGTCCGACACGACAACAAGGCGCATGGAGTTACGATACTGCCAACCTTGCCGAAACAATTAGTAAATGATAAGTCGTTGCCTCATGTCACCTCATGACGACTGAAAGCTAAAAAGTTAATGTGCCTTAGTGATTCAAAATAAAGGTTTCATACAGAAGAACAAGCTTCACCATTCAGAAATACAGTAGGGTGACTTGGTAGCACTGCATGCACTGAGCTGACCGATAAGTTCTTCATACATTATTGTCCTTGGATGTGGATGTGAAGACTCAAACTACTCAAAACCAAAACATCTCAAATCATAACTTCAGCCGGCCACCGAAGACTGATTGAAAGGTATTGTAATCTCTTTAGTTCCGAGTATCAGGTAGAATGTAAAGGGTTCACTCATTATGCCTCTACGTGCGTTGATTTTCCAGGTGGACATTTGCCATGGAAGTCGCCGAAACACTCGGAGGGCGAGGGCAGTACCCAATGATTAGGCCTTGCCATGCAGAGAGGATTGTCCTGTGCATCGATGCCTGCGATGACAGGCTGAGGTACCCTGGAGGGCCGCAAGGCGGCAAGCAGTTTTCCACTTTTGGCACAATCAAGAAATGTGCCGAAGCGTTTCTACACAACAAATCCGCTATGAACCCTGACCATCACTTTTCCCTACTCACGTTCAAGGGTAACACATGCTACATGGGTCCTTTCAACAATAAGGCCCATGAGCTCGTGAGGCAGCTTCAAGCTATGACACCTAATGCATCGCCTGACCACCCAGTTCCTTTGAGCCGTGTCTTTGATTTAGTGTACGACAAAGTGTTGAAAAATGAAGAGGAAGATGAACATATGCCATTACGAATAGTTCTTTTTTATGGTCGATCTGGTATGTGCGTTATGGGCGAGAATGTACTTTCAAGATTCAAGAATGTTCTTGTCGATATTCTTTATATTCATAGACCTGTGTTGTCAGCCAAGGAAAACAAAAGAGTGATATCTAACTTTTCAGAATTACAGTCATGTTTGTCAGAAAAATCTTTTTGTTTTGCTTCTCTCTGTGAGAGTCTTCTTGCACTTCAGTATACCATGAACCTTCTCATGCACCCCAACATTCGGGTGCCCAATGTTAATGCTAGAACTGAATAAATGTATCATGATGGCTTACCAATTATTGACGGATTCACTGTCCTTCTTTTGCAGATTTTTATGTTAATAGTTTCTATTGTTTGCCTAGTTGAGATCTTCAAATTTGTTGTATTGGTGCATAATTTTGGTTTTATTTTCATGAACAGCTTTTAAAATAAAGCATCGATATTTCTTACTGGTTGTGTTTTCTCTGGAAAATTTTGTCCTCCTCCTTGCTCCGCTCCATATGGCTTTTCACAGACTACCTGAAGAGTAGAGCCAGTAGGCTGAACATGAGATGAAACAGAGAGGAGACTTATGTCCCATTCCCATGAAAACAAAGAAGAAAATTCTGTGAGATCTGTTTCATTTTATAACAATTTTCAACAGTAATAAAGTTTTCCCTTTAGAATTGTTTATTTATTCATTGGGGAGACGAGTGACTTACAATGATGGCTTCTGGTTCTTGCCTGACCTTGTTTCTTTGTTTGCAAAAATAGGCCTTATAAGGGCCTTATAAGAACAACGGGGCAATACACATAAACCCATTGACACGACACGCTTGCTGGTGCGGGCCACCGGGCGGGGCGTGCCGGGCTGTTCGTCGGGCCCCTCTATCTCTCCCTGCGCGCTGCTGTGCTGTGCGCTGACCGGCCATGCCTCTCAAGGCCCTAGGGCTGGGCCGTTGGGCCGCTGGGCCGTTGCCGCTGGGCCTGGCGGCCTGGCCGTCGGGGGCTCCAGCCTGCTCCAGCCAGTGTCCATCACATCACGCTCCATCAGTCCTGGATCACGGGCCGCGCCGTCGACAGCGACGTCCTGCCTGCCCTCGCCGAGCAGCGCGCCGCGTCCCTCCACGTGTCCGGGGCCGGGCCTGGGCCGGGCCGTCGACGTGCGCGTACACTGGTGGCACCGAGAGGGCCTTGGGGGCCTTGCCGAACGCGGGCCGCGGAGCGCGCGGAGCCGAGCGCCGCGCAGTGGCAGCGCCGGCCGCGACCGCGCCAAGCAGCGCCAAGCAGGCAGGTGAGACAGACTGGTTGCCGTCGTGGGGGCGTGGGGGCGTTCTCCGGAGCCGGCGGACTGAATCTGAGAGTCGTCTTCGTCGCTCCGTCTCTCTCTCGCGCTCTTGGGGCGTCCCATGTGGGTGGCAAGAGAGACAGCGACCAAGACGACCCTCGGAATCGGTCTGCAGGGGCAGAGTTTGGGGTCAGTGGCAATGCGGGAGGGCCCAGCCTTCACTTTCGACATGCGGGAGTTTAGACGAAGGTGGGCTGAGGTCTCTCCCAATCAGTTGGGCTAGACGCGGAGGCGCGCGGATCTATGCGGCCAACCATTTCTCCACCGTTACCGTGCTCGCTGCCATAAAAAATGAGGCTGGAACTGAGTCGCAGCAGTCGAGGCCGCTGAGGTTGAGATGCATCCCACCAGTGGCGTCGGATTGAAGTACATCACGTAAATCTAGTGCCGAGGTTGTGGAGGAGGGTCTAGGCCTAGGGCCGCCGGGCCGTGGCGGTGCGCAGCGAGGGGTCGCCTCGCCGCCTGGGAGTCCCTGGCTGGGCTGGAACGGGACGGGGGACAGACGGGCGCTGTGCTGTGCTACACAAAGATAGATGGGTCCACATTAAAGCCAACTGCAGTGCGTCGCTGGGTCGCCCTGACCGATTCGCCCCGCGGCACCAGACGCACTCCGAGAGTCATCCTGTCTCTCTCGCACCCTTACGGGACGCCCCATGAATGCGAGAGGGACAGCAATGAAAAGGACTCTCGGAGTGAGTCTGTAGTGCCGGCCGTGCCGGCCAGGCGGGCCTAATTCGATATCGCTGCCCAGCGTCCCTCTGGCCTGCAGCCCGGCAATCCGTGCCACGCCGTGCCACGCCGCGTCGCCTTGGCCGCGTCGCACGTCGCCATTTACGCGGCTGATTACTCATTTCCGCTTAGCGATCCGCCGCATAGCGCAGTGGAGCACCGCGCAGCACCGCGAAGGCAAGCCCAGCCTGCAGACTGATTCCGAAGAGTGACGTTCCCTCTGCCGTCCACGCGGGCCGTCCTGCAGGCACTGCAGGGGCGCGAGAGAGACAGAGACACGAAGCGACTCATGGGAATCACTGGGCTGGTTGGCGCGGCGCGACGCGGCGTCGCGGGGCCCTGCGTGCGGACACGATGCTCGCTGCGGGAGGCGATGAAGACCGTTTTGGCGCGCGAAGTGGGGGGTGCGCCAAGTGGCCCGCGAGAGCTGGAGTTGAGCGAGCCCGGGTTCGAATCCCGACGGCGCGCTTTTTGACACTCGTGGCCGCAGGATGGACCAAAATGGCGACGCCCTGCCGACGCTGCTGCCGGGCGACATCTTGCTGGGCACGACGCGCTTCACCGAGTCGCGAGTCTTCAGCTGGCTGGACTACACCGTGTTCGGCGCCATGCTTCTCGCCTCCTCCGTCATCGGCGTCTACTTCGCCTTCTTCTCGAGCCGCAAGCAGGACACCACGTCCGAGTACCTGATGGGCGGCAAGACGATGGGCGTGCTGCCCGTGTCCATGTCCCTCATCGCCAGGTGAACTTTTCACACCGCCAGGCTTTGTAAACGCGTCGTCCGCGATGACAGTGCCATTCTCTGCGCAGCTACATCTCGGGCATCTCGCTGCTGGGCCTGCCCGCCGAGATGTACACCTACGGCACGCAGTACTACATCATCGTGCTGGCTGAGGCGCTGGTCAGCTTCACCATGGCCACCGTCTACCTGCCCGTCTTCTTCAAGCTGCAGATCACGTCGTCCTACGAGGTAACGGCAACGGCCTAGCCCGAGCAGGCCGCCTGGAAGGTCTCGGGTAGGCAACCCTGCCTCCGGTTGGCTCGGAAGCGCAGCGGGTTGCCTACCGCGCCGCCCGCAGGGGCGGGGGTAGGCAACCCTGCCTTCGGTTGGCTCGGAAGCGCAGCGGGTTGCCTACCGCGCCGATCGCAGGCGCTCCCGTACTGGCGCCCGTCTTGCGGCGTCCCTCTCTCGCTCATTGCCCGCCTGTGTTGTCTGTGTTGCAGTATCTGAACCTGCGCTTCAACAAGACGGTGCAGCTGCTGGGGTCGTGCCTCTTCCTCGTTAAAATGGTGCGTGTCCACTGTCCGCTCGCGCGCTCGCAGTGTGCCCTGCAGTCCGGCGAACGTGAACGGCGTGTACCTGTTGCAGATGCTGTACATGCCCATCGTGATCTACGTGCCGGCGCTCGCGTTCAGTCAAGGTGAGCCCGTGGGTCTGTCTCTCTCGCACTCATGGGTCGCCCCGCAGGAGCGCGAGAGAGACAGAGCGACGAGGTGCTGTTGGGAATGCGACTACTGGCCTAATCATTTGGAGAGGGGTAGTCGACTCGTTGGAGCGTGGACGCGCCCTGCGTTGCCCAGCCATGCGTAAAGCCCGCACTTTTTTCCTCATTTTTCACCACTTATTCATTATTTTCCTCCCACTTCATTCCGCAGGGCGTAATTAGCAATCTGCAAAACACGCCCTGATGGATGAGGCTGGCAGTGGCCCAGCGGACGGGCCGAATCAACACAATAACCGAGAGCTCTCACTCTCGCCCCTCATCATCATCACTTCGTTATTTTGCCGTCTGTTCGTTCCCCTGTGTTTCCAGTGACAGGAATCGATCTGCATGTCATCACCCCGATCGTGTGCCTCGTCTGCATTTTTTACACGACGCTGGTGAGTGCGCAGGTCTGCCAACACTCCCGCGCTCGCGGCGAATCAAAACGCATATTTGTTGTTTTTTTTTTGTTTTGGTGCGTGGGTTTTAGGGAGGCCTCCGCGCAGTGGTGTGGACGGACACGCTGCAGACGGCACTCATGGTGCTCGGCGTGCTGGCCGTGCTCATCCTGGGCACGGTGAGCGTCGGCGGCGTGGGGGTCGTGTTCAGGAGGGCGGCCGCCACCGACCGCCTCGAGCTCTTCAAGTGAGTGTCGGAGGCGTGGGCAGTGGGCCAGACCGAGACGCGTTTTGAGCTCCAGAGTCGCTCAACAGGACTCGAACCGAGCGTGTGACCCCACCAATGGATTCCGCGTTCGGAGAGCAATCCATTGGTGGGGTGGGGTCACAACGGTCGGTTCAAGTCCCATTTAGCGACTCTGGAGCTCAAAACGCGTCCGGGATTTTGACCGCCTCCACCGGTCTTCTGGCCCACCGTCTGCCAACCTTGTCACTCTGAATGCCAACAAGTCATTGACTGTCCGACGGTTGGCAGCATGGACCCGGACCCCACGGCGCGGCACACGTTCTGGACCGTGGTGATCGGCAACTACTTCAACTGGCTGGCGTCCTGCGCCGTGAACCAGGCCATGGTGCAGCGCTGCCTCGCCATGCCCACGCTCAGGCGTGCCAACCTGTGAGTAGGGCCACTTCCGCTAACTGGGGGATTTTAGGACTCTGCGTCTCGCGTCTCGGAAACGCCAGCATGCTGTTAGTCATGGAACGACACGGCACTTGAAAGTGCCCGTCGCGGTGGCAAATCAAAAGTCGATTTATCCTCAACTTTTTCGAGAAAGTCAAACCACTTCGACAAGCATCGACGAGCAGTTTGAGTGCAACTTGATTGACACTTCCCCAGGACGGTGGTCATCATGGTGGTGGGCACCTCCCTGCTGGTGTCCATGTGCTGCTACACGGGCCTGCTCATCTACGCGACGTTCCACGACTGCGACCCGGTCTCGGCGCGCGTCATCAACAAGTCCGACCAGCTGCTGCCCTTCTACGTCATGGAGCTGGCCGGCAAGGTGCCGGGGCTGCCCGGCGTCTTCATGTCGGGGGTCTTCAGCGCCGCGCTCAGGTTGGCGGGGGTGGAGGCGGTCAAAAGCCCGGACGCGCTTTGAGCTCCAGAGTCGCTAAATCGGACTCGAACCGAGCGTGTTACCCCACCAATGGATTCCTCATTCTGAGAGCTATCCATTGGTGGGGTCAGACGCTCGGTTTGAGTCCTGTTTAGCAACTCTGGAGCTCGAAACGCGTCCAGAGTTTTGACCGTCTCCAGTCTTTCTGGCCCACTGTGGGGCGGGCTGCGCGGCCTGGAGGAAGCCTGGGGGCATCCGGCTGGACCTCAACGCGTCGGTTACACAGCCTGTTGTCCTCAGCACCATGTCCACCTCGCTCAACTCCATGACGGGCGTCATCTGGGAGGACCTGGTGCGCCCCCACCTGAAGAAACCCGTGTCGGAGCAGCGCGCCTCGCAGATCCTCAAGCTGCTGGTGGTGCTGATCGGCGGCGTGTGCGTGGGCCTCGTGTTCCTGGTGGAGCGCATGGGCGTCACCCTCGTGCAGGTGAGGCCCTTGTCCTTGACGGCGTGTTGTGGAGGTCGTGGAGGCCGTGGAGCCTGACGTCCTCGTGTCTTTGCGCAGGGGAGCAAGATGCTGTCCGGCATCACCGCGGGGACGCTGCTGGGTGTGTTCTCGCTGGGGATGTTCTTCCCCTGGGCCACCCCCAAGGTGAGACAGAGACAAGGAAGAGACTGCGCTTTGCGATTGGGGTACTACGCCGACGTCTAAGCTCCGCGTCGCTCCGCGTTGTCCGCAGGGCGCGCTGGCGGGCGGGCTGGCCAGCTTCGCGCTGGTGGCCTGGATCTCCGCGGGCACGCAGACCGCCATGGCGCGCGGCGACCTGCGCTTCCCCGGCAAGCCCGTGTCACTGCAGGGCTGCTCCGCGGGGGTCTTCTCCGTCAACAAGACGAACCTGCTGCCGCCCGGGCCGCCGACTCACGCGTCAGTACGCCGCGTACGCCGCGGCGGCGCTACTCCATGCTGCGCCAAGGCGCGGGGTAGCGCCGCGCTGCATGCTGGCCGTTTGGCTGCTGCGGCGATACCCCGCGCTGCCGGTCGTAAACGACGACTGCACAATGCGCCACGCTCTCCTAAAACCACTTGCAGCGCCATTCCGAACCGCTGTCTCTCCCGTACTCGTGGGGCGTTCGGTGTGGGTGCGAGAGAGACAACGGCGGCCTCTAAACTAAACCCCCTCCCTCCCCAGGGTGTTCCCGCTGTTCCGACTGTCGTACCTGTGGTACACTGCGCTGGGCGCCATCACCGTCATGGCCGTGGGCATGCTGGTGTCCTACCTGACGGGCTTCAACGACCCGCGGAAGATGGACCGCGACCTCCTGGCGCCCGTCATCTGGCGCCTGCTGCCGCAGCAGGACAAGCAGGACCAGCAGGACGTCCAGGACAAGAAGGACGCCAAGGACAAACAGGACCAGCAGGACGTCCAGGACAAGAAGGATCCCCAGGACAAGAAGGATGTTCAGGACAAGCAGGACGTCGACGTCGTGGAGGACGACGTGAAGGTAGGACCATCGGAAGGACGTGCTGGCTTCGTCGGCAAAGTAGTTGGGGAACCCATTTGCAGTGTGGTTGTCTTTCGGGTGGTTTCAGAAGTCGCGGAACGGCGCGGGCGCCACCAAGGAGACGCACTTCTAGTCCGGCGCCTTCTCGCCTGGCGGGCAGGCAACCCATCTGGCGGCGCGGGGCGCGGGGCCGCCAAGAGAATCTCTAGTCAAGGCCCAGGGGGCGAAGGCGAAGGCGAAGCAGACGAAGCGGCGAGCTATCTCCCTCCCATCTGTGCGGCGCGCGCGCTTCCGAAAAGCCACGGTCAACTTTGCAGTAAAACAACAAAAGCAGCGAGGATGGCGGTGGATGTAGAGCGCGACACGGACAATAAATCGAGTCGCACTCATGCTGCTGTTGTTGTTTTCATCGCTGCCAGTGTGGCGGGGACCGGGCCGCGGTCCGAGAAACGCATCGGGAAAATAAAGCTGTTTCTCGTTATCGCTTTTCACCACAACTTGGGCTTGGCCTTCCCGCAGCAGCAGCAGCCGCGCTCCGCCAGGCGGATGCGGCGAACCTTCGTCTCGTCGGCCGAGCAGCCGGCTAAATCAATCAGAGGATGAGACTCCTCGGCGGGACGCTTTGGGAGCGGCGACGCGGCGACGGCCAGGACGCCGGCCTGCTTGTCCTTGGCCATGACAACCTGCCGCCGCGCCGCCGCGCCGTCGTGCTGTCTTGCGTCCTCTTTGGGTCACGGCTCTTCCTTGTTGACACTCTGCGCGCAGCCAGACACTTCCAAGTATTACTACGTCGCTCTGTCTCTCTCACACCTCTGCCGACCGCCCCATGAGTGCGACAGAGAGTGTTCTTCGGAGCGAGCCTGCAGCGCACCGCGGAAGCGCATCCGCATGCAGTGGCGTGTCGCCCCGGACCCGGACGCCCGCGGACGGCAGGGCGGGCCACCCCGCGAGGCAGGCGCGCGCGGAGCCGCCGCCGGTGGCCGACCTGCCGGGCGCCCTGGTCGAGTCCTGGAGCGCACTGCCGTCGCAGAGCCCTGCAGACGCGAGCAACCGCTTAAATTGGGAGCAGCTGTCCCCAGGAACTTTATCTTAAAATAGCGGACGGAAATGTGCCCGTCCACCTGCTTAAAATGATCGAATTAACCGCGGCGCGTCGGCGGCTCTCTTCAGAAAGACGGCTTGCTTCGCCACGCTTGGCCACGCTTCGCCGCGGGCAGGGTGCCGACAATGTGCGAGCGCCGCGCCACTGTAACAGACTCGACTCGGAATTGCAGTGCAGGACTCGGGACTCCTCCGGCCGCCGAGGCGCCGAGGCACTGTGAATGAATGGATGGCAACGCGAGGAACCAAGCGAGCCGGGCTGGCCGGGCTGAGCCGCGCCTGACCGCGCCTCCCGAGCAGTGCCTTTGTCGCTACGCCGCGCTCCGCAGGCGCGCGAGAGAGACAGAGGACAGTAGCGTGGCGCCGGCCGGCCATTGTGCGAGGCAGTGCGAGGCGGTGCGAGGCACTGCTAGCCCGGGCCCATTGGCCGGGCCGGCGGTAAGACACACGTGAGCCGCCTGCCGAGGAGGCTCTTTATTCGCGATCGCCTCAAAGTCACCGCCACGTCTCCAAGGCGAGGCGAGGCAAGGCGAACCAAGGCTCCTCGGGCACGTCCTGACCGCCCCGGACCAGGCCGGGACAGGCTAGGACAATACGCCGCGGGCACGGCCAGGGCACGGCGGGCTGTTTGGAAGCCCCCCGCTAATTGCTCGGCCAAGCAGCCAGCGGCCGCAGTGGGCAGTGTCGTGGCGGTCGTGGCCAGCAGGCTCTGTCTCTCTCGCACCCCCGCGGCCCGCCGGGCCGCCCCAAGAGTGCGAGAGACACGGCACTCCAAAGGCGGGCGCGCTGTAAAGGAGCAGGACTTGTAGTGTCGCGGTGCCGCGATCGCGGTGTGCTCGGCAACAACAACGACGACGTCGGCGACGCCAGCAGCAACTACAAAGCAACTTTTGCGCGGCCGAACCACCGCCTTGCCGCCAGCACGGCGCACCACTCCACGCGGCCACGCGGCTACGCGGCGCATGACATCCCAACGGCGGCGAAACTTGGCGGAAAAGTCGCGACTAGCTTTAGAACCTACAGCGCTGCCGCACCACCCGCCCCGCCCCCGCCCCGCCCCGCCCCGCCCCGCCCCGCCCCGCCCGCCCCGCCCCGCCCCGCCCCGCCCCGCCCCGCCCCGCCCACCGGCCTGTCAAGCCGCAGCCGGTCCGGGCCGCCCTCCTCGGCCAAGCCTTTTGCCATGACATCAGCGTCGTGGCTTCAATTTTTCCTGAGGCTGATGGTCGAGCTGCGACAAACCGGAGGGGCGGGACGGCGGGGACATGACGGGATTGGGGGAGGGGAGGGGAGGGGGTTGCTTGTCCAGGACGGGGCTGCTCATTGTTCGGCGCCTCGCTGCTCTCCGCCCCGCCCCGCCCCGCCCCGCCCCGCCCCGCTCTGCCTCCAGCGGCGTCATATTGGGGGCCGCGGGACGCCTTCCCACCCGATGCCACCCTTCCTCTCCTTTGGACCCTTCGATCCCGTCCCGCCGTGCTCCGCCGTGCTCCGCCTCGCTCCGCGCCGCCCAAGTGGTCGTCGAGACGCCCTCCTCGGCCTTTCGCCGACTTGGAGTTCTCGCGGTGTCTGCGGGGCGGGACGCGACGGGCGGGGCCTTCCCTGGTCGGTATTAGTTTCCATGCATCCCATTAGGGTTGGTTAGTGTGACCCCGGCCCCCGGACCGTCCCCGGACCTTCCGCGGGGTGGCCGCCAGTGTGCCAGTGGCCCCCACCAGAGCAAATATCTGTCGCTTCCAAAGCCACGCTGCGGGTGGCGTGGCGCGGCGTGGCCACTGCGCCCGTTTTCGTGGGACGTGTTTTTTAGCCCGCCTTGGCAGTGACGCTCCAGCTGGAAGTGCTCGCCAGGCCCGCCCCCGTTAAGTTTATCCAGCGTCGAGCCTCGTCCAGCCTCCAGCGCCTCCAGCGCCTCCAGCGCGACGGCCGCCCACCCGCTACAGCCAGGCCCAGCCAGACCACGCCGAGCAGCGCGGAGCAGCGCGGAGCCTCCAGCCGAACCCGGATCGCAAAAAGAAGCCCTTTTTGTGTGCGTGTTTTCATTCCTCCTTTGTAACGAAATAGCGCCCCTCCCGGCGCCCAGTCTCTTAAGAAGGATTATTTATATGAAGCTTCCCGGGGGACTTATTGCTCGCTTATTGCGTGCACGCGGAGCGAGTGCAGAGTGACGTAACCGCTTCGGGGAAGCATTTGTCACCCCGAGTTATCGGCTGGCTTTGCGTCGGACTGGTCCGGTCCGGCCGTACGGCTTGGCAGAATATCATCGCAGGGCAGCTTCACTGGTTCCGCCTGCCGCTTCTGCTTGCCGCTCCGATGACGCAAGACAGCGGCGTGGAATACAGAATCTAGGCTGCAGACCGATTCCGAGGGTCGCTTTCGTCGCTCTGTCTCTCTCGCACTCATGGGGCGTCCCGTATGGGTGCGAGAGAGACGGACGACTCTCGGAATCGGTCTGCTGGCCGCGGCGATAACGGACATGGCCGAGGCCTGACAGGACGGAGACGAGAAAAAGACGGAACACACAGTCAACACGGCCGAGACTAGCTGCGTTGACCTCGCAGGGTCGTCCGCCGAAAAGCCGCGCCGTCGGTGCGGCAGGACCGAACAAATGAACACAAAATAACACAATAAAAACATATGTCGGCGGGGGGATTTGAACCCGGCGCCCGAGCACATCTGCCCCGTAGCGCCGCGTTGCGCCGCGTGGCGCCGCAGTGATGGCGCCTAGGGCAACGACCGCGTGTTTCACCCGCCTGTCCGTGGTTTGTTTGACAAATCTGTGGCTTTGAGGCTGGCGGGGTTGGCGGGGTTGGCGGCGCAGGCGGGGGCAGGGCTGCACGGCGCGAACGGGGCGGGGCGGGGCGGGGCGGGGCGGGGCGGGGCGGGGCGGGGCGGGGCGGGGCCGGGCGGGTGAAAGGGTTGGTCAACGGCCGCACCGACCCCTCCGTGCACCGCTAAAGGGGCGAGAGTGGATTCGGAGATAAAGGCAAGGCCTGCCAGACAGTCGGACGGACAGTCGGACCGACAGGCAGACAGACGGACGGCCGAAGCGCGCTGCTCAGCGGGTCAAATCTGTGGGTCCCGAGGGACTAAAGTGTCAAGGACACACCCCGGCAGGACGGCGCGTAAAAGGAAGGCTAAAATGGCGCCCCTCGCAGTGAGTGACCTTTGGCCCTCTGGCCCTCTGGCTGGGGTTCGGGGCGTGGCGGGGCGTTCATCATCCGTGTAAGGGCCTTAAGGTGCGAGTCCTGCTGAGTCAGCGCGTCCCCGCCACGCCCCGCCACGCCAGCCCAGCACGAGGTAAGACTGATACACCTGCCCCACATGGCCGCCCGCCAAGACGCTCCACCCATTTTCTCTGCTAGGTTTCGTTCTCCCTGTTTTTGCAGCTTTTTTTCTTCTGCCGGTGTCACGTTTCGCACTTTCTGGTCCAGTCGCTTTGTGTGCTTTTGTGACAGCGATAGTCTTGTGTCTTGGGCTAGGTGGCGGGGCGGGTCACGTCGGCTGCCTTGTCTCCCTCTCCCTCCCCCTCCGTTTCCCCGACGGCCACTTCGTTTCGGGGCCCGGGGCGCTCGGGGCGGTGGAACCGCGATGGAGCAGCAGCGCGCGGACAGAGATGGATCATCTGGGTTGGCGATTTAACGGAGGGAATCTCGAATTAATCGATGTTCATCAATTCCACTCGTATTCCCCCGTGCCACTGCCGCTCCCTCCTTGGTGCAAATCCTCTTCCCCCCTCCTCCCCCTCCTCCTCGCACCGCCAGGCCTTTTAAGCCGCCGCCCCCTCCTGGACGGCTCCGCGCCCCGCTCCCGCGCGGGGTCATCGGGGTCATCATTTAGTTATTTCTCGAAACGTGGCGGCGAGATGCCAAAAAGTTTCGGGCCGGCAAAGATAAGCCCGAGCCTCGCCCCGCCCTGCACGGAGGCGGGAAGTAGGAAAAAAAAGGGAAAGAAAAGTGGGGAACGGGGGCAGCCAGGGGAAGCGGGTCTTGAACCCAGGACACGATCGCTCACTCTCGAAATCAGCCAGAGTGACAGGCAGAGGTTTTTGATTTTTTTCCCGTTTTCTTTCCACGAGTATCGCGTGGCTTTGAAACAAGGGGACTGCGAATCGAGGATTGCGGACCGGTCCTTGCCTGGTCTTTGCCTGGTCCTGGACGGGGTCCTGGACGGGGTCCTGGAGGTGCGCGGCGCGGGGCACTGCTCGCTCCTCGCGCGGCGACGGTGGAGGTGGCGGTACCCTCACTACAAATCAAGTGGCGAAAAAGAGGAGAGGGAAGAGCATGAAAACAAGCGCGGTGCGGGCGGGGCGGGGCGGGGCGGGGCGGGGCGGGGCGGGGCGGGGCGGGGCGGGGCGGCGCGGGGCGGGGCGGGGCGGGGCGGGGCGGAGCGGGGCGGCGCGGGGCGGGGCGGGGCGGGGCGGGGCGGGGCGGGGCGGGGCGGGGCGGGGCGGGGCGGGGCGGGGCGGCGCGGGGCGGGGCGGGGCGGGGCGGGGCGACTGGCCGGCGTCAGCCAAGGCGCGACGAGGCCGAGACTTCTGCTCAGTCCGAGTCGAGTCCCCGCGGGTCGCTAATCGGATCGCGTCGCCATGAAGCTCGCCGTCGTCCTGGTCGCCCTGTGCGCGGCCGTGGCGCCCGCCTGGGCCGCCAACAAGGTGGTCTGCTACTACGACTCGCGCGCCTACTGGAGAGAAGGTGAGCGTCAGGCCAACAGGTGGTGGGCGCGGGGTGGCGGCGCGCCGCCCCCGGCCGCCCCCGGCCGCCCCCGCCAACCCGCGGCCAGGTAGCCAACAAGTTTGGCGGCCGCGAAAAATGATCCCTCAATATCGGCGAAGGCGTCACGGCCAGGGCCGCTGGATCCCACCGTGCCTGGCCCGACCTGGCCGTGCCCCGGGTAGCCAAGTTTGATAATATCCGGCCCGGGCCTGGCGCCGCCTTCGGGACGGCCTTCCCCGTGGAGCCGGAGACGTACTTGTTGCCGTAGTGCACGAGGCCGGAGATGGCCGGCCTTGCTGGCTTGCTGGCGGTGCGGATCGCGGGTCGAGGCGATAGCGCGGCTAGGGCTGGGGCTGGCGGCAGGGGCGTAGCCGGCGTAGCGTTTAGGAGTCCCGCGACGGGCAGGCCCCCAGGAATATCAAGTGCCGCCGCCTTGCCCTGCAGACTGACTCCGAGAGTCGTTTTCGTCGCTCTGTCTCTCTCGCCCTCGAGGGGCGTCCCGTAGGTGCGAGAGAGACAGAGCGGCGAAAGCGACTCTCGGAATGAGTCTGCAGCACCGCGCGTGGCGATTGGCCACTCGCCAGCCTCTTTGGGATATTTATGGATTCCCTGTTATGGACTGAACCTTGACTCGACGAGGGCGAGGCCGGCGGAGCTTGGCGAAGCAAGCGAAGCGCAGCGCTCGTGGATCTTATGGATCTCCCGGCCGCCGCCCGGCCAGGGACTTTGTTGTTATTCGGCCGAGATGTGGCAAGTGTGTACCTTGGCCGCCACTTCCAGCAACGCACACACCACACACAAACACCCTTTCATCCTCTGGCCGCCTCCGGCCGCCTGAGCTGATGGAAGAAGCTTCCAGATCGAGCGCTATCTATCATCCGGCCGAGCCAACTTTTCGGTCATTAATTACCACTCTGCCTCACCTCAACTCAAACGCAAGTCAACACGGTGGGCCGGAAGATCGGCGGAGGCGGCCAAAATGCCGGACGCCTTTTGAGCTCCAGAGTCGCTAAATGGGTCTCGGACCGAACGTGTGACTCCACCATTGGATTGCTCTCCGAACGAGGAATCCATTGGTGGGGTCACACGTTCGGTTCGAGTTCCATTTAGCGACACTGGGTTCAAAACGCGTTCAGAGTTTTGGCTGCCTCCACCGGCCTTCTGGCCCACTGTGTGGTGCTGCTCCAGCGGTGCCAACACACTGCGGGACTGAGGCGGCGGGGCGGCGCCGTGTTCGACAGCTTATTCGGCCGGTTGGACTTCGTAATACTAGGCCGTCATGATCGTCGGCGCGACCTTGAACTTGCCGCGGCGCGTGTGTCTGTGTTGTGAGTGAGTAAGTGAGTGAGTGTGTGTACTTGTAGGCGTGTGTGTGTGTGTGTGTGTGTGAGTGTGGCGCAGAGCTCCGCTGGGAAGTTCCCCGGACAACAGCCCACTCCGGCTAATGATATGGCCTGCTGGGAGACACACGTCGAGAGATAGACACAGACAGAGAGACGCGTGGCCTGCGGTGAGATACTGTTCAGTCGGCACTCGTTACGAGCCTCGTACTGTTGTTGTACTAGTTAGCCGCTGCGTGCTGTCAACTTTTTCGCAAAAAAGAAGAAAGATGTTGCTGTTTTATCTTGTGAGCGCGGGGAAAATCATGCACAGGGTAACAACTGTAGAAAAATCATTATTAAACCTGAAGTTGTTATAGTAGTACATCCTAAACTAACCTTCCCCACCATCGCCAGCGGTGTGTCAATCTACGGAAATAAAGTCGAGCTTCTTTTCGATGTTGGCAATCTGTGACGGTCGGTGACGGTACAGTCTGTACAGCCAAAAACACACAGTCCGCTCCATTTCGCACGTTTCGTGCCGAGTTTCCTGCCATCTCGCGGCCCGGCCCGGCGTTTCGGCCAGGCTAGCTCCATCGGCCGCTATTGACACGGCTGCCACCTGAGTCGCCCACCCTGGCAAACAGGGAAGGTGCGGGTCAAGGGGGGACTGGAAAGGGGGGGGGGACTGGGGGATGCGCAAGTTTGCACTGACGTCATAAACCCGTGTGTGTATGGCAGCCTGTTTGCCGTGCGGCGATTGGTTGCTGGAAAGGTGGGGCGCTTCCTTCCCGGAGCCGCGTGGACCTCTATGCTTTTGCGACACCTACCTCTCACGCTCTGTTTTCAAGCATTGAATGACAGAAGTTCTACCTAACTTTCGGCCGTGGGTGTATAAGCGTTAGTCTCTCAGGTCGGTACACAAAAAAGAAGCAGAGTGCAAAAAAAAGTAATAGCAAAAAGAGACAACTGCCCGCAGATTTTGCATGCGTTTTTCACAAAAAAAAATTAATTGGTAAACACTTTTTTCCATTTTCCCGCGCAGTAGGGGAGGCTTCGGCGTGGAACAGTTTTGCTTTCGGTTGGCAACCCCCAGGGGTTCTCATCTAATGAAGGCCAGCGCTGCGGCAGACTGATTCCGGGGAGTCACTTTGGTCGCTCTGTCTCTCTCACACCTAAAGGGGACGCCCGATGAGTGCGAGAGAGACAGAGCGTCGAACACGGCTCTCGGAATCAGTCCGCCAGAGCGCGCGGCCCAGGAAGAAATGGGAACAGAACATGCAGTTGTTGGTTGCTTTGCGACGCTCTGGGACAAATCGTCAAGTCCACCGTTGCGGCTTCACTTGGGAGCCTCAAAGTTCACTCACCCGGCGGCCCAGTTCCAGTCACACTGATCTGCCTGGCGCGGCGCTTTGGGCGGGCTCCGAATTAGCATACAGGCTCAACTCAAAGGCCGATCTGCCAGGCCTGCTTAGAGTTTAGCAACTTAGTCGGCACGTGCACGTACAAAAAAATAAAATTTAAAGTGACGTGAACAAGAAAAACAACAAAAATAGCAGGACAGGGACACAGGAGAAAACAGCCAAGAGTTAATTTTCTGAAAGTGGATGGGTGATGAACCGAGTGATGAACCAAACCTTCGAGTCCAGAGTGTGTGACAATCGAACTCCCCTTTGTTGCAGGCGCCGCCAAGATCGAGCCGGTGGACCTGGAGCCCTCGCTGTCGCTGTGCACGCACCTGGTGTACGGCTTCGCCGTGGTGGACGGCAACACGAACCGCCTGACGCCCATGGACGACTACGTGGACCTGGACACCAACAAGGGCTACTACCGCCTCATCACCTCCCTGAAGGCGCGCCACCCCGGCCTGCGCGTGCTGCTGTCCGTGGGCGGCGGCGCCGACTCGGCCGGCGAGAAGGACAAATACCTCACGCTGCTGGAGACCCCCGAGAAGCGCGCCGAGTTCGTCAACTCCGCCAAGCAGCTGCTCAAGCACCACAACTTCGACGGCCTGGACCTCGCCTGGCAGTTCCCCGCCCTCAAGGAGAAGAAGGACCGCGGCACCCTCGGTACGCAAACGCGATTCTCTTGCCGCTCGCCGCGCGAAAAAGGGCGACGGCACTTTTAAAAACAGAGAAAGGGCGAAGTTTGATGACTGAGTTTCGCTTTGCAGGCAACGTGTGGCACAAGTTCAAGAAGACCTTCACCGGCAGCTCCAAGGACGAGAAGGAGGAGGAGCACCGCGACGGCTTCACGTCCCTGGTCCGCGAGCTCAAGGCAGCCCTCCGCGGCGACGGCCTCATGCTCACCGCCGCCATCCTGCCCCACGTCAACAGCACCGGTAAGTCTCTCACCAGCTTCTCCCCCCCTTTCACCAGCTTCTCCCTCCCTTTCACCAGCTGCACCCTCCCTTCCACCGGCTTCACCCTCTTTTTCACCGGCTTCACCCTCTTTTTTACCGGCTTCACCCTCTTTCTCACCAGCTTCACCACTTCCACCGGCTATACCCCTGGCTTCACCCTCCCTTTCACCGACTTCACCCTCCCTTCCACCAGCTTCACCTTCCCTTTCGCCAGCTTCACCATCCCTTTCGCCAGCTTCACCTCCCCTTTCACCGGCGCCCTTTCTCTTTCATCCGCCGTGTCCTTTGACACTGACCCGCCGCCCTGCCGGCCGAGGCCGGAGCTCTTTCTTTACTGGATTTGTTAGCCGGGAGTGGCGCGCGGCCGTGCTGGGCGCAGGGCGAGGCGCAGGGCGAGGCGCAGGGTGGCCGGCCCGGTCGGTGGGTGATCCCCAACAGGTGTTGGTGCTGAGTGCGGTCGGCCAGTGGCTTCTCCGCGCTCTCCTCTCGACCCGTCTCTCCGCGCCTCTCTGTCTCCCTCCCACAGTGCGGTGGCCGCGCCCTGGGCGCGCGTGCGACGAGGACAGCCGCAGCGCCGGCCCGCCCATGCATAATACATCGGGCACCGCGCCGCCCCCGCCGGCTCGCCTCGCCCTCACTCAGCCTGATTCTCTGATTTGGCGTGTTGCAGTGTACTACGACTACCGCGTGCTGGCGCCCCTGCTGGACCAGGTGCACCTCATGACCTACGACTTCCGCACGCCGGAGCGGTCCCCCCAGGAGGCCGACTACCCCGCGCCGCTGTACTACGTGCACGACCGCAAGAGCTACCAGAACGTGGACGCCACCGTGCGCCGCTGGCTGGAGCACGGCACCGACGGTGGGTACAGTGTAGCGTAGCGCACAGTGGGCCAGGGGACCGGTGGAGGCGGTCGAAATCCCGGACGCGTTTTGAGCTCCAGAGTCGCTAAATGGGACTCGAACCGAACTTGTGACCCCACCAATGGATTGCTCTCCGAACGAGGAATCCATTGGTGGGGTCACACGCTCAGTTCGAGTCCTGCTTAGCGACCCTGGGGTTCAACACGCGTCTAGAGTTTTGGCCGCCTCCACCGGTCCTCTGGCCCACTGTGTAGCGTAGGGTAAAAGCCGCGAAGGGTTAATGGTTCCGAAAAGCGCCTCCTTTTTGCGGCGGCCGCAAGGGGCCGCCAGGGCCGCCACTGTCGCTGGCGCTGACAAAGACGGGCGCTAGTCGCTAGCGTCGCTAGTCGGCGCGGTGAATTTAGCGGGCGTCGCCGCGACCCCTGCAAAGAGCTTCCGTAATGAGATGGAAGTGCGCCGCGGAACGGCAGCGGTGCTCTGTCTCTCTCGCACTCGCGGGGCGGGCCTAGGCGGGCCGCAGGAGTGCGAGCGAGACGGAGACACTGTTCGGAATCGTTCGGCAGGCGGGGCAAGGCAGTGCCGCCACCCTTTGCCGCGCCGCCGCGCCCGGTGAATCAGTTCGCCTCTTTTCTCGTCGCTTCGGCGGCGGCCAATGGCGCCGGCCGAAGAAACAACAACCATTTAACTCGGTGGATTGTTCCCCGGCGAGGCGAAGACCCTCTCTCGCCTCAATGAACGCCTTTGTCGCGCAGGGGTCAAGATCATCGTCGGCATCCCCACCTTCGGCCGCAGCTGGAAGCTCAACACTGAGAGCGGTATCTCCGGCGTGCCCCCGGTCACCGCGGACGGCCCCGGCGACGCCGGCACCGTCACCAAGACCCCCGGCATCATGGCCTGGCAGGAGACCTGCCTGCTGCTGCACAACTCCAAGGTCGCCGATGTCCCCGTGAGTACCAGGAACACGCTTTCGACGGCCATTATTTTGTAAACACTTGTTCTCAACGCGCTGTCCTTGCTTGTCCAGAACGACCGCCTGCTGCGCCGCGTCGGCGACCCCAGCAAGAGGCTCGGCTCCTACGCGTACCGCATCGCCAAGACCAAGGACGACGTCGGCCTGTGGGTCGGCTACGAGGACACCGAGTCGGCCGCCTACAAGGCCGCCTACGTCAAGAACAAGGGTCTCGGTGGCGTGGCCATCTTCGACCTGTCCATGGACGACCCGCGCGGCGTGTGCGACGGCAACAAGTTCCCCATCCTCCGCGCCGCCAAGAACGGCCTATAGGCTGCGGACTGCCGCTCCGCTGTCTGGCGGTCGCGTCCACGACGCCGTCCTCGCCTGCCCCGTGCTCCCGGCCGGGCCGCGCTGCTGCTTCAAGCAGTTCGTTTGTTAGGAAAGTCCCCCCAAAAGGCTGTGATTCCCCTTTTCGACAAAGAAAATTAAGACCCGATGTTTTGTAATCCTTTTTTTTTTTAAGTTTTAGGAGTAAATCAATCTGTGTGTTGTGTATATTTCTCGCGTGTGAAGTGGAATAAATTTTTATACACCTCCTAAATTTGTTTGATTTATTATTGCAACACATCTCAGCATGGCAGGCCTTAATCGATCTGGGTATAAACTTTTTGATCGGTTCGGGTTCAATACACTGGATCTTCGTCTCAAAGCCCTAGCAAAGAGTATTAGCTTCAGCCATGGCCAAATGCTTTTTTGAAAATGAAGTCATAACTCAACTAGCCAGCGAAGAAGAAGACGACCGCTTGTCTTTGATCCAACAAAGGAGATGAAACCAAACACGAATGGCGTTCGAAATTTCATAGAAAAATTAATACACACAAGTAGTTTAATTCATCTTGGCGTCCAAGTGTTGTAGTGTCGGAGCGTTAGCGTACTCAGTTCTCCGCAGCTCCCAGGCCGTGTCAGTGTGCTGACCCCGCCCGGCCGCGCCTGGAGGCCGGCGGGCAGGCAACCCATTCAACAGCAACCGCCATGCCGGAGCGCCGCCCGACGGCAGGCAACCCAAGCAACGGCGAACGTGCGGCCAGCAGAGAGGATGCGGAGCCGTGCGGAGCGGAGGCCGTCGAGAGGGGGAAGTCTGCTTTGCATTTCGAACACATGCCTTCAATTCCCCTGTCATTCGGCGCGGAAACACACACACGCACACACCGGCGGTTCACACCGACGCGCGGGCGTACAGAGAAACCCTACTGGCCTAACGACACGCCCGCCGGGCCGGCAGTCCGTGGAGGCGAGGACCAGGCGAGGACCTCGAGGGAGGAGCTGAGTGACCCTTTCATCTGCTCGAGGTTCAACGTGTTTGGCGGCCGTTCCCACCGCCGGACAACTCTCGCCTCTCATCACGGCCCTGCCTTTGGATTGGCACGCCCAGCGCTCGGCGTCCAGCAAGTCGATAGTGAAAAATAAAAGTACAACACGCAGGCTTTCGGAGAATTTACCAACAGGTAAAATCGGGACTGACTGTCACCGTTCCAGTTGGTTCCAGTGCAGTGGAAGCATCAGCTTGGCAAAGTTCATTGCTGTCATTTCGGTGACGTTAGCACCTCGCAGTCCATTCGACGAGCGGTGGTGCGAAGGCGGTTCGCGGGGTGGGAAGCACCGCATTGCCAGAGGGAGGGTTGCCAGCGGCAAGGCTGCCGGCAGGCAGGTCCGCACGCCGTGGTCCGCATGCAGGCAGCCAGGCGGGGCTGGCAGCCTGGCAGCCCGAAGGCCGAAAGCGGTATGGAAATGGCCCGGCTCGTCCCAGGAGATAGTTTGATAACTTTGGCCGTCCACATGACCTGCGCCGCGTCAATATCCCCCCCCCCTCCCTCCCCCTTTCCACCAGCTCCTTTTCCTTGTATATAGGTATACACAGCCCGTGGAAAAGTTTGGCGCGGCGTGCAGGTCACGTCACGCTTTTCGTGAGTGGAGCACGAGTTTTCTTTGCGCGTGAATCAGTGAGGAAGGAGTTGCGGGGTCCGGAGGCGTTTCGGGGGGTTCCGGGGCGTTCCGAGGGTGTTCCGGCGGGGGGGGGGGGGGGGGGAGCACTCGGCGCGGGGCCAGAGCGCCCAGGCCCCTCCGCGCCACCCCCACCCCCGCCCGCGGGCAAAATAAAAAGAGTAAATATTGGCGCGGCTCATTAACATGGAAATTATCGGCGCTGTTTATTTATTCTGAGTCGAAAACGGAAGAGGGTGGCTCTGTTGCCAGCCGCGCCCAAATCTGCGCCGCGTCGCCGCGTCTCGCCACGGCGGCCACTTCCACGGAATGCCTTTGCAATGCCTGCGGCGGTTCCGTTTTGCGGACTTCCGAGTGACGGGTTGCAAACAGGCCCAACTGTTTCCAGTGCACCGCACCCACCAGCAGTGCGGCACCGCAGTCAGGACGGGCCTTACACACTTGGGACTGGAACCAAACGTGTGACCCCACCAATAGATTGCTCTTCGCACGAGGAATCCATTGGTGGGGTCACACGTTCGGTTCGAGGCCCATTTAGCGACCCTGGAGCTCAAAACGCGTCCTGGATTTCGACCGCCCCCGCCGGTCTTCTAGCCCACTGCGCCGAGTGGCGCCCGGAGTCCCGGAGTGGCAGAGGGCCTCGCGGAGGGCTCACAGTGGGGGCCGAAGATGGCCAAAGATTCTGGAGCGCGTCGTACAGCGCTGCTCCGTGCGCTTGCATAAGCGATGAGGGGGCCCCGGGGCGGGGCGGGGCCGCCGGGAGCTCCAGCTCCAAAGCTGCCCCCGTAATTAGTTGAGAAAGTAGCATCGGGGCGAAAGGTTCCGGCCCTCTCAGCCAAGCCGACTAGATTTACTGGCAAATGTAAACAAATGGTCACGTGTCGCGGCGCGCGTTTATCAAGGACAGCCAACAAGCACCTCGACAAGCACCTCGCGGAGCCTTCCTTGTTTGCCCTGCGTTTTAATCGCGCGAGGTGCGCCGTGCCGTTAATGCTCGTTGTTCTGCTCCAGACGCGGCGCCGCTCTGTTCCCAACCGAATTTTACCGAAGAACGCCAACCCTCACGCCAACCCGTGCGCACCTGGCGGACCCGGAGCGCCGAACTAACTTTCCCGCTGAGCGAACAGCGATTTTAATGGGCCTGCGCGTAGGCTGGAGTACCGTGAGCACCGCGAACCAGCGACGCGGAAACTGGACAGAAATTATTCGGATGCAGGGAGTTGGGTGCCGATTACTTAGGAATAGAGGTGAATCGAGCGAAGTAGAGGCCGCTTCGGCAAGGGCTGATTTGAAGAGCAAAGAGCAAAAAAAAAAAAAAACCTGAGAGGATTGCTTTGCTGCACCCGCGGCCTTCCTTTCACAGCTGTTTCAATCACGGCGGCGCAGCGCGTGTCGGAGTAATCCGGAGTTGGGCAACCCGCAGGCCCCCCGTCTGGCCCCTCCCCCTCCCCCTTCCCCCCGGGCCGCCACTGTCAAAGTAAGTCAGATTGCATGCGCCCCGGCTGCCTCGCACTTTGCACGTGAGCAGGGCCTTGCCCAGGGCCTTGCCCTAGCGCCCTACCTGCAGCAGGCCAGAAATAAACCGAACCCTTCCAAAATGATTTCCCCTGCCGTGTCGGGGATTTCGACGCCGTCGGGCCATTTTGCCAATCAGGGCAACGCGATCGAGGCGCCCCCCCTTTTCTCCCCCGCGGACCACGAATAGCTCGGCCAAGGGACTCTGCACGGACTCACGCCAAATTCGAGACATTTCTTCGTTAAAGGTCGCATGTTTGCACGCAGAGCGAGTTATGACAGTCGTCGTTTGAACTCGTGGCCGGGTCGGAGCGCAATCCGGCCTGGGAATCAAACGAGGGGTGAATTACTAGTGTACCCATGTGTACAGATTTGATCGTACTCAATGTACTCACAACTTAAATAAGGGCAAAATTCACTAGTTTTTCGAACGATTTGGCGTTGAGTGCTATTTAAAACACTAAATAAAGCCTTATAATGTTTACAAATGTGAAATTTATGAGTAAGGAAAGGTGTACTCACCCGTACTCATGTACTCATGTGTACACCAGAACGCAGAGTGATTCACCCCTTGGAATCAAAGCGTTCGGCTCGGCCCCGATGACAAGGGGCAGGCTGACCGCAGCTCGCGAAACGCGGTAACGGGTACCGCGGCGACGGCCTGGTCGGGCCTGGCGATGTCGCGCTGCCTGCAGCCGACGCCACGCCACGCCACGCCACGCCGCCCCTCTCCTGCGGTTTGGCCTGGCGTCACTTTGTTCGCTCGATAAGGGACCGATCCTGCACACTGATCTCGTGGCTGTCTGTCTCTCTCGCACCTAAACGGGACGCCCTACGAGTGCGAGAGAGACAGAGCGACGATAACGACTCTCAGTCAGTCTGCAGCAAAGCCCGTACCAGACGTGCCGAAGAGGAACCGCTGGCGTTGCTGGAGCGGCCATGTCGATAAACTGGGCCAAATGCTTGTGTGTGTTCCTTGGAACAAACAAATGTATGCGAGAAAGTGAAACACGAAGAGGGTACTTTAAAGGAGAAGAACAGAACGGAAAGTCAGAAATGACAGTTAATGAGAAATTAACGCGGTGGATAAGGTTTGAAGCTCGCATAAATTTCTCATAGAAACTGTCTTTTCTGGCTTCTATTGTTCTTCTTCTCCCGGACCACGATTCCTTTGGATGGAACACCCTGTTCGGTTTCAATCCGCTGCAGATGGCGCCAGGTCGACACACCGCACAATATTCGAAGCTCACCGCCGCCGCACACCCTTGTCAAAGTGTTTGACTGCAGTTGACTGTTGTTTGCGAACGGAAGAGTTTCCGCCCTGCTCCGCGCTCCGCCCGTCCGATCCAAGGCTCCTCTTCTCGGAACACTCGATTCAACAACTCGCGGCCGATCGCAGGGGAGGGAGGGAATCTTGGGGAGAGCCTCGGTCTTCTTCCCCAGGAACACACCGTTTCGGCGGCCTCTGCAAATAGCAACTTGTTGATGGGCATGGCGTGGCCTGGCGAGGCGCGCGGTGCGTATTCGCAGGACTGTGCAGCACCACCTGGCCCAGCGCAGCCCAGCGCGCCGTCCCGCTCGCACAAGCCGCTCTGGATGGCGGCGACGGAGACAACAATACAGTCCGCTCGGCTGCCCCACTCCGCCCGCCGCCGGCCGCCGCCCCTCCGCCCCCGCCTCGCAGTGGAGCAGAGAGCCGCCTCAGTTGCCGGCGAGCTTCGGTCACGTAAACACGAGCGTCGCGGCGAGCGTCGCGGAGTCACTGCCGTCGCCTGCGAAGTCCTTTTCGCGTAGTGGTGCGGTCGGCCTTCCCTCCCTCGTGTCACACCTGAGTGCCAGCGGCACCGTTATCAGCCCGAGAGCCACCTCCCGTCGGGGACACCGATACCACCTTATCGTCTTTATTGCGCGGTGCTTAAGTGAAAACAAAACAAGAACAAAAGAAGCCAGTGACAGTGTTGGTTATTGATTAGCTCGAGTGGCAGTGTGGCAAGACTGGATTTTCGCGCCGGATGTCGTTTCTGTGCCGCTCTTCCGGCGGAAATCCTATCGGCTTCGATTAACGGCGGCGTGCGAAGGGAGGGG